CATGAGCATATACAAACCTCTATTTTTGCAGTCATACCAGTTTGATCTGAGAACTCTTCTTTCTCCGTATATATATATATATATGTGTATGTGTATGTGTGTGTGAGCCATGCAAGTGGTTCAGTCACAGTGAAACTCAATGAAGTTCCTTGTTGGCTCATTTTGGAGCTGGCAGATACTCAGTAACTGTTTTATTTCCTTGAAATTCTCTTAAGGAAGTGTTTTCCCTGCCAAAAAAGTGGTTTTTTTTTTCCTGAAGCAGGAGACAGAAGACACTTTGGAAGCCACAGAGCACTGCGAACCCTTGTTAGATGAGATGAAGCCATCACTCCTGTAGGAACAAGGACTGTTGCAGCATGTGCTCAGGTACACTTCCCTTTGTGATCATTCCCAGATTTCATTTCCACAGACACAGCCTCCTTGGCTGTTGTTAAGACTTTCAACTCCTCCCATTTATTTTGGTGGGAATTGAGAATTCTTAGTCTGGCCAAGTTCTGTTCCCTGCAGGCTGTGACAAGCAGATACAAAAACATACAGAAATTGCCATATGGCCCCAGTGTCTTTTGTCTACGGCATCAGTTTCCCTTCAGAGCGGAGTCCTGGCGAGATGATTGTAACATCACGAGTAGAGAAGAGCATGAAATAGTTCTGCTTTAGTTCTTTCCATCATTCCATTCGAACAAGTGTGCATGAGCATCGTTTGTCTCACTGGTAGAAAGGCTTTTTCTATTAATAGTTCCAGTACAGGGTTTTCTAAAGCTGTGTTGCCAAAAGCAAATGGTTGGAATTTTAATGTGGCTTTGAGCTCGGTGAGGGTTTTTTAAGATTTTTTTCCCCTTTCCCTGTTCTTTAATTCCCACTTAATATTCCTAAGGATGTAGCAGTTATTAGGGTACTTCTCACAGGAATTCATCACTCATTCATTTTAAGCTTTAGATGGATTCTCTTTCTGGGCAGTTGATGTAACATGTGGAAGTTTCTGCAGTTTGAAATACAGAAGCAAGAAGGCCCTTGGTCAGATCAGCTAAACCTGGCAATACAGGGCTCCAAGAGGGTATACAAGCACCGTAAGGAAGAGTCCTGGGAAGCTGGTCCTGGAAGAGTGGACAAGTTCATGTGTGTGCATTGAAGTCTTGGGCATCAGGAGCCACAGGAATACTTGGTTGTGTAGAGCAAACAAGGCGTTGCAGATACAGAGATCAGTTTAAATGTCAGAGTAAGTTTCACCCTTGGAATCTCTGTTAAACGTTTCTCCTGAGCATCTGCAAAGACATTTCTCACAGCTGTTGTGTGGACTGACTGAAACTCCTGGCACCTGCATATTCCACAAGAAGTGTTTTACCAGATAAGTATTATTGGTTCAGAATTCCCCATTTTCAATCGCAATGGAAAATTACTTGTAAAGTCTGGCTACTGTGGCACTGCAGAGGCTTCTGAGGAGAAAGATGGATGGGGATGACAACCACACACATGCAAATAAGCAGCTATATGGGAGTACCAATCCCATTCAGCAGTTTCAGTCTTCAAAAGGTTTCCCTGCTCCCATGATAGGCCAGGACCTGCTTTTCTCCTGGTACTCCACAACACTCTTACTGCTTACGAAGGTAGAACTGATGTTTTAAACCAACTCCTCAAATAAAACCCCAATCCAAACCAAAGACAGTGCTTTTCTGAAATATTACAACCATAAAAGCACCATCTAAGTATTTTCGTCTGATTTTAGGGAACTTCCACCAGAGAACAGCGTTGGAGGTTTTGGTTATACACAGACAGTGCAAGATGTTCTCCAACCCCACACTGAAGAGGTTTCACACCCTCCCTGGAACAGCTTTCGCTCCACAAGAGGCAAGAACTGTGCTTCTGGCAAGGTTTTAATGAGCCATTGTAAATTTAACTTACACAAACCTGGGTATATTACTTGTGGTAAGTAACCTGCTACCATTAGTGGTCCTTTAGTCATCTGTTATGTTTCCTCTAGTCTTGTTTGCATTAGGTCAAATCAGCACAAAATTGATTTCCTGTGTGGTACCCAGCTCTATCCCACAACTACATGAAATTGTTTGCTTTTAAATTCCAAGAAATCATGTAATACCGGCAAACCCAAGTGTTAATTCTGTCTTTTTACAGCTAATTTTAATGTAGG